ATAAAGTTACTTGTTTTATCTATTCTCGTTATTATTCAATGAAAGGGAAATTTGCTAGGCCAAAATAGTACGAAATTGTTTAATATATGTAGATGGAATCCCCTGACTCATGTGGACTTTTGCTTTGCTTCCATCACACATAATGTGCTTCGAACCAAAGATGTCCCGGTGGAGAGACTAATGCGGTACATGTGGGATCGGGTTAGCGTAACAGTAGGCAAGTTGGCGTTGGCTCCGCTCAAAAAATGTATGTTTTTCCTTTAAAAAGAGTATCAAAAAAGTTTAGTCTGTCTAAGGCTCTAACCGCTCCCCAGTGCTTACTGTGACTGAGTCTTGAGAAGGACCAACTGAGTCCTCAAAATAGTTACGGTCCCGCAAGTTCGTCGGCGACATCCAGAAGTTGAAAAGTGTCAAACCACTTCTTGACGATCCTGGAGGTGATTATCCTATTGAAGATGGCCCTGATTGCCGCCTGGCTGACTGAAGGATAACTAAAAGGCGGTTTTCAAGCGGTTTCAGAGTATCGTCACATATTCTATATTTACCCCATTCTTCATTCGCCATAGAAATAGAAAGATAATAAAGTTTTTCAACTTTGTTGTCACAATCCCCAACGAGCCTCCTAAGCTACAATTCGCTTTTCTACCTTATTTAATAGTTCATGACACATGTAAATCATCGCTTTTCTGGAAACGAAGCATCCTAATTAAATCGAATATCTTCAACAATGAGACGGCAGGAAACCAAAGCTGCTCCGTAAGTTACTTTTCTTCTACCAATTTTATTTTATACAGCGATTTCTCAAACGTAAGGGAGCCAATTAGCCAAAGCCTTAATTCCGCGAAATTTTCACCTCCCCTCGTAAGTTAATTGGAAATTGATTTAAAGCTAATGCTCATTATTTGAATATGTATTTGTAGGTAAGCAGAGTATTTCTGTTAACACAATATTTTGTATTTTTTATTTAATATTATAAAAGTATTATACTCATAAAACCTTAATAGTTTCATTTTCTTTCGAATAAACGAAAGAAGATAGATAGTTGCAAGTAAAATGTTTTTTAATTACAGAAATCTAATGAGGCATACCTTTACCAAAAAAAATTTACGAACATTTCAACATGTTATGTGTAAGCATGCACAACCTCGGCGGCTGAAATATGTATTTATTTTGTAGTAACTATGTTGAAAACTTCAGTGGTTACGGCATTACGATAAAGAAGATCGCGCCTTAAGTCTTTCGTTGAATAGTTTTTTTTTTGCATTTCTGCATTTGTTTGATATAATTTCAAAATAATAGGCAGTGTGTTTTAATAAAAGCGTAGTGTTAGGTAAAGGCGAAATAAAAAGAAGGGTGGTAGGTAGTGTTTTAATATACTACCGGTCGCACCAATCAAAGTAGCGCTTTGCTGAAAAGATTTAGATAGACAAACAGCTCGATGTTCTGATTATTTTGGTATGCTTCATAATTTTTCTTGTAGTCACAAACATCGAATCAAAGTTGTAATACCATTTCAAGTTAAGAAAAGTCACAAAAAGGGAAATTTAAGTGTCTATATGAAGGCAGGTAAGGTTAGGTTAGAGTGGCTGCCCCGCGCAAAGTACGGAGCACACGTCGGCTGGAAAAGCCCGTTGTGATACCACTGGCCGAAGCCATTTGTTTCTTACCTTCCCTAAGAAATTGGACCACCGAGTGCGTTTTATATAGCACAAAAAGTCGAGGACGCTAGCCGAGTTCAAATGGGCTAAACAATCCGGAAAGTACTTATTGGTTGCGCATGTTGAACAGGGCGGGACAATGGCAGAGATAGTGTTCGACGGTCTCCTCCTCCTCCTCGTCTCTTCAGCTGCGACAAAAATCGTTGGTGGGGGGTATGCTAACCTTTTACCGTGTGAACCCATCAGACAGTGTCAGGTGATCACACCTACTACTAATCTGAGAGAGGAGCGGTCCAGCCGAGTAAGAGCTATGGATCGCTTTACATCAATATTTGGCCAAATTTGCCTGGTAGTATGACAGGTGGTTTCCACGGCCTACTTGGTGTTTACATCCTCGATGAGTTCAGCCTTTAGTCTGTATTTGCAGAAGGTTAGAGGTATGCCCGCATTCTGAGCAGAATTGACTTCAGATATTTCCGTCCCCCTCCTTTCCAGCTCGTCGGCTAGGCAGTTGCCAGGAATGTCCCTATGTCCGGGGACCCATACAACCATTAAGAAGCATTTTGATACTAGCAGGCTGAGGGTCTTCCTGCATTTTATGGCTACTTTGTACGTTGTTCCGTTAGATTTGAGATTTTTGATAGCAGCCTGGCTGTCAGAATAGATAGCGATAGGCCGTCTAGGAGGGGCGGAGTAAAAATACCTGACTGTAACCGGCATGAAGATGGTGAGACGACGGATAACTTTCTGAGCTTCTGTCCCACCTTTGTAAGAGTTTTTGGCTGAGGTATATTGCGAGAAACACGAAAACATTAAATGTTTTCTGCAGCCGTTGTTTTGTATTAGCTGCGTTAGTAAAATTATTCACCCTTTGTGTGGCCTATTTGGAATACTTATATACACATGTATGTGTATAACTATCTATTATCATAAGCGAAACACCGGCTTGGTTTTTTATATATTTGCAGCTCATAGCAGAGCTGAAAGGTACTCAGTGATTCCCATCCATTGAGAACGTTCACATTCAAAACTAATTGTTTTTATGTTATAGAGTAAAAAAAGTTGATTACATTTATTTAACAACATAAAATGAATCATTAGAAAGAAAATAAGCACAAATATTTGTTAAAAAGAATGTGTGACAAATGTGTGAATGTGTGATTTTAAGCGTATTTTTCAATTTCATCAATGGTTGTATTCCCATGCAGCTACATTTAATTTGAGCTTTTAATTTTTGCTTTTCTACAGCATGCAAATCTATGCATATTTTTGAAGCCAGTTTCTTAACATTGATTTTTATTTTTATTTTCTTTTGAATGCTTTCCGGTTCATGCACCATGCTCAAGCAAACTATTCTAATAAAAATAATCAATATGTTTCGCGAAAATAATGTTATATTTATATGCTTTCATTCATTATTTCGGTTCATGCTTTTTTTTGATTTTTGGTGCACCGAAATATTAAAATTTAACTAAATACGTTTAAAATCTATTTTTATAACAACAAGTAATTTTTAAGCAAAAAACAAAACCGACTTCAAATGATCGGATTTAAACCAAATTAGTAATGGGACCACCCAAATTGAGGTACCAACTTTCCGATGAAAAAAGAATTATCGAAATCGGTTAGCGCGGTCCACAGTTATGCAGTAACATACATAAAAAAATATATATATTTTGACGAACTTATAACCTCCTCCTTTTTGTGAAGTCGGTTAATAAAAATAACTAGTATACTAGTTTGGTTTAAATTCAATCGCAAGCCTGAAAGCCCTTTCAAACCCATTTCGATTGATATCCATTCTTTAAAAATTCATTTAACTTATTAAATAATTTGAATGCAGCTTATAAATTACGTGGCAACCCTTCTAAATATATTTTAGAAATAAAGCCTTTTCAACCCCATTACGATTGACACACATATTTTAATAATTCATTTGACTTTTTAAATAATTTTAATATTTGAACAAAGTAGTTTCGTATATATTTTAACTAACTGATGAACTAAGTTGAATTTTATTTTCTAAACATGTGGCATTTTTCAAACCCATTCCATTAATACCCATGCTTTAATAATTCATTTAACTTTTTTAATAATTTGAAATAAACTTTTAGACAGGTGGCAACCACCTTCCAACACCTCAAAAATATTCTTAATGTTTAAACTAAAGGCTTCTTAACACTCTTCCGTTTGACTTCCATATTTTTACATTTCATATAACTTTTGGAAAAGTTAACTAAAATTCGACATTTGAGGCAGGTGGCAACCCACTTCAAAATATTTTTAAACTGCTACCTTCTGAGCCCCCTTTCGTTTGGCAACCATATATTAAAACATTTTTTTCTAATTAATTTCTTTATTTCAAATTTAATTTGATCTTTTATATAGGTGGCAGCCCTCTTAAAGTCAAGCTAAGAAAGAAAGATTTTCAAAATCATTTCCATTGATACCGATTTTGTAGTATTTGATTTTTTTTAGATAATTTGG